AAAAAAATAGCTTTTCCCTTATGCATACTTTCTTGTTTCCTGTGAATGATTCTCATTAGCAGAACCTAAATGGAAACCAGCCAGTAGAGGATTCTGGGAAATGTGGTTTCTGGGCTTTGAGCCCCAGCAACACCGAGGAGGATATAGGAGAGTTGAGTGTGGACTGTAAGCCAATGGACAGATAGCAGCCACACGCCAGCCAGAGCTGCCAAACTCCACTGCTTTGGAATTTAATGCATCACATGGATCGGTCTCGAGTGATCTTCAGTTACAGCACATGGCAGGAGCTTCAGGAGAGTCATGGCATTTCTATGTACATAAAGGATATGAGTGTGGAGAGAAAAAGGGAAACATCAACCACTCAAGCTGGGGCATGAGAAACTGAAGTCTGCCTGGCTGACCAGGCTGGAATGCCAGGCCCAGGGAAGTCGGCAGCAGCCTGGCTGCCATGTAGACCTCACTCAGGGCCCACCACCTGGGCTCCCCCTGCTCTATCACTCAGGCTCCCGCAGGTTGCAAGAAAGACTTGGTCCCTGTGACCTTTGATGGTAGGTGTCCTAGGTCGGACTCTCCAGAAAAGAGGTTCTGAGGCAAAGATTTGTGTACAGGAAGTTTATCAGAGAGTGCTCTCAGGAACAAAATCTGGAAGGGAGGAAATGAAGCAGGACCAGGGAAAGGGACAAGCTGAAATGTGATGCAGTGGCAGTCATGGCCTCAGCCATCCCGTGGGACCTGTGGATCCCGTGGTCCTTCACAGTGACCTGAATTGAGGCTAGGGGACTAGAACTATGTCTCTTCACACTGACCATGGGATGTAGGCTATCCCCAGGGAAAGGCATAATCTGAATGGAGGCAGTTCCCCTTGGGTGCAGGACAGCTGTCCAGCAGCCAGGATGCTACGAGGGCCTCCATCCTGATGGAGACAACATGTCAGCCCACCAGAGTGCCCACTTCTAGGGATGGCAGGACCAGAATGCAAGCCCCTGCTGTTCAGGCCCTGGTGCTCAGTCACCTCGGTGATGCAGTTGAGCAGGTGAGAAAGAGAATCTGCTGCCCCCCAAGCTAAGCTGTGGCCTGCATGCCTGGTCTCCCTGCTGCCGGAGCCCCCTGTTTTCCTGCTCCTCCTTTGCTGGCTACCGTCCATTCTCTATCAGGTAGCCAGATGGATCTTCTAAACCGTTTCATCAGATGGTAGTACTGCCCTGCTATGCTGCGCACACCTGGCTCTTCACTGCACCTAGAACCACCTCCAAGCCCCCTCCTGGCCTCCAGGTTGCTGTGACCTGCCTACCTGTCTAGCCCTTTCTGATCCTTCCTACCTAAGGACCTTTGCCCTGCCCTAGCATTTCCCTTTTCCTGGAGCATCTCCTTCTTGCCATGCAGGCCTCAGCTCTAATACCACCTTTTTGGTGAGGTCTTTCGTGACTATACCACTGACCTGCTCAGCCCACCCACTTTTATTTGCTTTGCAGCACTCCTCACTAACTGAAATCATCTTCTTCATTTCTTGGCGACTTTATTTTGTCTGCCCCTCCTGATCAAATATGAAGCTCTCTGTAAGCAGGAATCAGCACCTGCTTACAGGACCTGTAAGAGGACCTGGCCCAGGGCAGGTAAATGTTTGTGGAACACCTTCCAATATGGAGGACACTTATTAGACAGAATTTCATGTAAATTGTGTAAATCAGAATTGGTGTAAATCACAAAATTTCATGTTTGGTGTGTGGCCTTCTCTGTGTCCTATTGTATCAGGGTTATCTTGTTTGGACGGCTGTCACTGTCCAGTCAGCCACAATCAGGGTAGCAGAATTGGTTTAAGTGGCCAAACCCAGTCGGTGCATGGTTAAGTCCTTCAGGAAAGAATCACATGACTCATCTTCCTCAGAAGGGGGCTTCTGGCTTCTTCTGTGGTGCAGACCCTCAGCACAGCCACCTGTGTGTCCATCATTGCCGGGTTACCACGGTCACAGAACTCTCAGGTTTCTCCATTGGTAAAGCACACAGTGGCTCGCATGGTTGGAAAACTAGTCACTTGGGGGCTGATGTTGCTGAGAGATAAGGTTGCCTCAGACAGAGCCCAAGAGTTCACCCCTTTGCCAGCTGAAGTCATGAAATGTGGAGAATCGGAGGGCTGGAGAGCTTCCTGGCACTTAAAATCGTTTTAACTTCAGCTCTCTGCTATTAAACATTTTTAAACAAAAATTACTACTGTCACTTACTGCATGCCTGTTGTTAACCAAGAGCCATGCTGGGGCCATAGCTCAGGTGTTGAGGAACTGGCCTGAGGGAACTCTGAACCCAGGTGCGTGAGGCGCGTGATACTCAGAGGCTGACCTCCTTCGGCTGCATTGCCTGAGAAATTAAGATGCTGGGAGGAGCTACTATTGATTAAAAATAGTCATGGTGAGTAAAATAAAGTATGATGGTCTTACTTCAAAGATAGACTAATTAGTTTTGTTTAAAAACTAAAGAGAAAATACCAAAAAAAGTTAAAGGGAGACTTTTCTCATCCCCACCCCATTCTCCACTCTGGTGTCATTCTAACTGCGAATGCCATTTCATATACTTTTTAATTTGACTGACAAAGCTTCTGCAGAATTTGTCCACTTTTTATATCTAGACGTCTTTGGAATTCTTCAAAGCTTGGCAGAAGATGGCTGAATTAGATCTCCACCTTTGTCAAACAAAGAGATGTCCTTCTAGTGGACAATGTCTGCATCTCTCCCATCCATGCAAAGCACTCTATTTGCATAAAAATGATCCTTTTGGAAGATGTTCTATGTTTTTCAATCATCCCTCGAAATAAAATCGCAGCTCCTGTCTCACCTTAACACTGAAGTGTTTTCACACTCCAGGGAATTGCTTACCATCACCTGAATATAGAATTCAGTGGGCATTAGTTTCAGATACTACTCACAGCTGTCTACGGGATTTCAAAAAGGTGTCAAAGTGGCCTTAGGAGGTGTTTCTCATTCTGAGAACAGGCTGAGTGATTCTCTTTGTTCCAAAAGCTGCAGGACCTCAGACTTTGGGATTCCATCAAGTGATGAGACTTGCTGGAGCTTCCTCCCAAGAATTCAGTGGGATCTGAAAAAATATATACATATATTATTATCAGGTGATGTTACCTGATAATGCAAGAGCATAGCTGTGAGAGTATAGCAGTTGTCTTGCCAATGGGTTTCAGCCCCCAGCAAGTTCACTATGGATTCAATGTGACCAAAGAAATGACAGTAGAACGTTCTTGGGGTGAAAGGTTGTGGATAAAATGCAAGTTCCTGTGGCCAGGATTCTCACCTGGCCCTGGTCGGCTAGCTCACCAGACACGTGTGGGCAATATGTTGTTATTGACTCTATATAAAGAGCTCTGCCCAGTGCTCTGGACAACACGGTGGCATGGCTGCAAGGCTGCAGAAGAGCGGAGCAGAGGCTGGAGTGATGGCAGCACCGAGGACAGAGGCCCAGAGGCTGAGACGGACTTGCTGCATGCAGACTCACTCTGAGTGAACCGGATTTTAGTGACTGACCTGCCACTGTGGAAATAAAGTTGGGTATAAACCCTCTCACCCCAAGAACATTCTACTGTCATTTCTTTGGTCACACTGAATCCATAGTGAACTTGCCTGGTGTCCATTGGCAAGACAAGGGGTTATACTCAACTTTATTTCCATGGTGGCAAGTCAATCACAAAATCTAGTCCACTCAGAGCAAGTGTGTGCAGCAAGCCGGTCTCTGCCTCTGGGCCTCTCCGCCCGCACAGCTGTCCCAGTCTCTGTCCTTGGTGCTGCCACCACTCCAGCCTCTGCTCCGCCCTCCTGCAGCCCTGCAACGGTGCCACCATGTTGCCCAGAGCACTGGACAGGGCTCTCTATATAGAGTCAATAATGATGCATTGCCCACACGTGTGTAGTGAGCTAGCCAACCAGGGCCAAGTGAAAATCCTGGACATAGGAAACTTCACTTTATCCACAGCAGTGTACCTTTAAGACAATTTCTTTTCCTAATTTCACCTTAATGGAATGATAGGAAGGAAGTTATTTCTGGATTAGAACATGCCCTAGCAAAATAACAGGGTGTTAAAATCAAACTCAGATTTGAATCCCAGCAGCCTCACTTAAATGACTTTCTATAAAGCACATAACCTCTCTCAGTTTCTTGATCTGTAATGAGGATCATCCTCCTTTCCACTCAATGTTGTCAACAAGATTCAGTGATATAACGTGTCTGTTTCCTTGCATGGTTGCAGAATTTTAGATGAGCATAAATCAGAAAGGACAGACCTCCCCCACTTTCTGTTTCCGGTTTCTTTTGTCCAGCATGTGGAAGCCCAGTATCAGCCAGCAAGGCCGACATGGCAGATGATGCATCTGTAGTCCCCAGGGTCCCTAATGAGAGGATGCTCAGCTGCCTGTGACACTAGTCAAGTTTTGCTGGCTCAGGAAGCTCAATGTTGTGCTGCCCCGTAGCCCTTATAATTGGAGCTGACGTCACCACTCAAGAAGGACTCACAAAAATAGTCTCTGTCCTTAATAAGAAATATTAACTGACCACCAGCTCCTCTCCAGTCCTCAAGCCAAACAGCCTCAGCAAAGCCACACATCTTTACAGGTGGGACACAGCAGCAGAGTCAGGACCAGGCTCCATGGGCCTTACCTCTGCCTCTGTCTTTCCAGCACCCTGCAAGATCTCATCCCAGGATAACACAGGACACATGGGCATTTAATAAACAGTCATGGTGGTAATAATGATGCATATCTCAGCATTCATTCACATGTGTTAGTTCTGTTACTGATTTTGTGCTCCTCAAATTTACCAGCTAAAGTTACAAACAGTTTGAAAACAATTAGTTTAATTTTGCACCTGAGGTCCAGCGGGAGTCTATTTTTTTCCAATATTAATAATTGCATTGTACAATTAATGAATTTCAGCTGAGATCAGTAGTGTTTGGGCTAATGTGGCATTTCTCTTTTGTTCTTGTTTGTTTTTTGTTTTGTTTTTAGGGTCAAGTTGTATTCCGGAACGGGGAGAGAATGGGAACCATTAAATTTACTCAATTTCAAGGTAGGCTGTTAATGCTTATTCTTGCTAGTCAATGAATTCTATATTCAGGGATGTTGTGTTTATGCAATAAAAAGCATCAAAAGAATTGAAAGTATGATGTTCCAGATAAGAGAAAGCAGAGTCAACAGAAACCACTTCTCTGTGAACACATTAGTTTCAACTTACTTAGAACATTTTTCTCAACTCCATTACATCTCAGGCCTATTCAATCTTCACACATGACTCTGAGAGTTCATGTAAGTATAGGGGTGTAGAAGTTAAGTCAGTTCCAATATTCTGAGAAATCTTGCACTATTTTTGCTTTTGATTATAGAAATTTTCAAACAGACCTAAAAGTTGAGAGAAGAGCATAATGAACCCCGTGTACCTGTCACCCCGCTTCAATCACTATCACCATTTTGCCAGTCTTACTTTAGCTTTATTCACCCACCCCCCATTTCTTTGCTGAAATATTTTAAAGCAGCTCCCAGACATTATCTCATTTCAATCTATAAATACTGCAGTCTGCATTTCTCCTAGATAAGGAGATTTTAAAGCACAACCACAATATTATCATCACACTCAAAACATCTAACAATAACACCCTTTCATTTCCATTCTGTGGTGATCCTCTGAATATCTCAAAAACGTCTTTACAGGTTGAGGAATGTACACAAGGTCCAGCCATTGCATCTGGCTAATGTGTCTCGTTAATCTCTTTTAATTTATAAGCATCCCCACACACTTTTTATTGGCCATTTATTTTTTTAAGGAGCCAGGTCATTTGTTGGACTTCTCTGTTGTCAGAGTTGAAAGGGACCTCAGAAACCATCCAGACCAAGTTGCTTGTGATAAAGAGGAAACAGAAGTCCAGAGGGGGGCGAGGGCTTGTCAGAGCCCACAGGGGGCATCCAGGCATCCGTGAGGAGTAGGGCTGGTTGTTCCTCCAGGCGGACACCTCAGTTCAGCTCAGGGAGGTCATTAGCAGGGTTGCTAGTCAAAACCCCTAGACGATACATTCATTATTACAGTGTTTTTCAGCATCTGGATGTTTCTGGATTTTCCCAAAACAAGAGCTGCCTTCTGTGTCCACTCACTTTGGGCAGATCCCAAAGTCATCCAGGGGAAAGCAAGAAATGTAATCCACTTATTCAGATTCATTGAGACAAATCCCAACTGGATTCAGATCAATCAGGAGAGGTGTACAGTACTATCGCTCCGAAGGCAATCTTGTAGATTTACCCATTCATCTTCCTGTGGCAGGTAATTGAAACTCATGTCAGCTCTCTGGCATGCACAGAAGATGTAATTTTAGGCAAATGTAATTATTTTCTCATTTGTTAAATCTTACTTCTTCATTGGTTGAACAAAGTAAGCATCTTGGCAAAGATACATACTATTTTTTTTTGAGTGATTGTAACTAAATTCTCTTGTCACATTTCCAGTTCTCAAATTATATCATTCCAGGAGAATATTTTGCAAAATATTGATTGGCTGATCACAGCTACAAGTTCATGCCAATTTTATTGCCTTTTCTTTTTTCTTATGTTAGGATTAGACACCAGCTCCAGTGACTGATTTCTGGCATTTATAGGGAAAGCAGTGTAGCAAACAGCAGTTTAGAGGTAGGTCTGACCCACCTGAGTTCAAGGTGCTCTAGCACATCGGGCAAGTGACTTCCTCTCTGAGCTCCCATGTCCTCATCTGCAAAACAGGAATATAATCCTACCTACCTTCTTGGAAAATGGGAACTCCAAGAGATAACACATAGAAATATGTGCATGTATTTCTTGCTCAGCAAGTAGCAGCAATTATGATTAGCTTTGTCAAAAATTATGACACTCTTCTGGAGAAAATCCAGATTTTCTTGGTGTGTTCAAACTCCCTGGGTGTCTTTTTACCTGATGACCCTGTATAGCTGTTCCCCACACTTACCCAGATGTAGGATGTCAGTGGGGCAGGGCCTTACAGATGATCTCACCCTACTACTTTGTGGTATAAATGGGAAACTGAGGCCCAGGGGCACACAGCTGATGAGTGGCAGAGCCGAGACCGGACCTCAGTGTTCCCCTTTTACTCACATGCACACCAGTACCCTAGCGCTCTCCTTGTACCACATCTGTGTCCCATGTGGGCTTGACACTAATGTCTAGGGGCTGGCACATTCTGTGTTCTGGGCCCTTCCCCAAATTTACCCAGAGGATGGGCCTGCTCCCCATGCTGGGGTCACCAGTGTCTAGATTGTCTCATGCCACTGACCCACTGACCTTGCAAAAAGGCTTCTAAATAGGGTCACCGTGTTTTCTGACTGCTCCTTCACACTCTCTTTCCCTGTCTGTTTCTCTCTCCCTCACCTCCTGCCCTCTATTTAGAAAGGGCAGTGGGACAGCAAGACCCATGACAGAGCAGACTCCCAAGCAGCCAGCCCCAGCAGTGGGGGCCCCCTTTGCAGGGTCTGCTTCTAGGTTCACACCCAGACTGTCTCAAAACTCACTAACGGGATCTTGGCAGTGGGTCTACACCCCCTCCCTCTGAAGACCTCTTGAGATGCCTTTCCAGCTTCTCATTTGCACAAAGTTACCTTCTAAAGCCTTTTATTTACCACAGAGGAAGCATTTTATAGGGAACTCTGTTAACTTGTTGGCAAAATAGAAACACAAATTAGTTGGAAATGGGAGGCAACTTTGGGAAGAAGACTGAAAGGGGAGCCAGGAGACCATGGGCCTTCTATACTTTTTGACAACAGGGCCGTGGGATTGGTAGCACAAGTGTTTGGCATTCAGTAGGCCCCCAGTACAAGTTTACTGAGTTAATTTGGAGGCAAAGACCTGGATTCAAATCCTTGCTCTGAACCTTACCAGCAGAGTGACGCTGAACAAGTCAGTTTACTCCCTAAACTTTAATTTCTGTGGATGCTCAGGCAGAAAAAATGGGTGGGCCACTGCTGAGGATGACACTAAAGCCAGCCCTGCCTGCCTCCTGGAGCAGGTATAAGGGCCAAATGAGATTTTCTACAAACTCTCAAGTATGGGAAGCTAGTCACATGACAAGCAGGCTGCCTGCCTTCTGGCTGGCTCTTGATCAATGCTCACTGAATCAGTTAGTGGTATGGCTTGTGGAAATTTAAGAACATCGTCATTGACTTGTGGTTTCCAGGGACTTGAGTCAAGGTAGAATGTCTGGCAAATAGCAGTTAGTCTTGACAACACAGTGTGAACTGAAGCTAATTCAAAATGGTGGCATTATCATTCCAGGCCAGAGAGACTACCTTTTTTGCAAACTTAGGAGTGCTGGATAAACAGAACTGTTCTAAGCTAATGTGCCAGGACTAACCCCCATGATCTCTTCTGAGGCTGAGACACTCTCAATCCAGGGAGGGCTTCAGAGCTCTAAAAATGACCTTCCTCACCCCCAGCTTCCCTCCATTTACTCCATTTTCAAGGGTTTTCAGAGCGCTTACCTCCCATCAGGACAATCCTAGAGCGTAGAGATGATGGATGCCATGAGTGGCCCGCCCATTTTCCCTGAGTGTCCACAGTTCCAGGACAAGCATCTTATTCAGAGCAGCTGCAGCTCTGATCCAGTGCAAGGAGCAGGCCAGATGTCCAGGGAGCTAGTGCTCAGGGGCAGCCCTGAGCAGAATGGTGGGTGAGAAGTGGAGGATCTAGCTAGCCCCCAGCATCCTTTACCCTTGGGTGGGCAACTCTGAGGTATGTTCCACTCTCTCAGGTAGAGAGGGCCTCTCAATTGCCTCAGTTGCCTTCCCAGAAACCTGCTCATTAGTGAATCTTACCTGATCTCCCCTTCCCTGTCTCACCTCCCCACAGCCCTGTTGGTGCATTCTGGGATCACCTCCCAAATAACTGTGCATTCTTACTCTTGTCTCAGGCACTGTTCTGAGTGACCCACATGCTATAGGTAAGGCAGGCAGGCATTAGCATCCCATTGGCCACCCATCTTGAGTGTAGGGGTCCATGGCTTAAACCCTTTTCAACTCCAAGTTCAGTACCCCTCCCCCATGTCATTTGCTGACTTCCCCTAAACCATGTGTAGACGGGGATGAATGCTAGGGAACTGGCTTTTTTGTTTTTTCCTTAAGAAAATAAAGCACCCATGTTACTGCCAAAGTCTAAACATGGCTCAAAATTTGCAGCAGGGAAGGAAGTGGAGTGAAGCCATGATTAGAGGCTTGTTTATGCTGTTCTTCATGAACCTCAGCATCTGCTGCTCTAGCTTGCCGTCCCTGCTGTTATTAGGCCTGTTTGTAAGACTCTTGGTGAATGACAATGTTCTAGAGTCTCACACTGCTTCTACACAACATAAAGGACTCACACTTTGGAGTTTCATATATCAGCACCTGATTTGAAGGGATGGGGTCTTCTCTACACTCTCTAGTATCAGAATTGTCACTCAGAACCCACCTAGGGAAATGTAGGCTTGTCCTCCCCATTTGCAGACATTAATTACCATTTGGTCATTGGGGTAACAGATAGAGTTCTATTCAGGGTACTTTTCCTGAGCATCTGCCAGGTGCCTTACCAAGTCCTCTCAGGGAAGCCAAGGTGAATGAGATGTAGTCCCTCCCCCAGGGGCTTCATTGTCTCTTTGGCCAAGTGCCAGTGCCTATAAAAGCACCAAGATAATTTCCCAGAACCTACTAGAAAACTTCTGGAGCTAGTTTGACCATAGTTTGAGTATCTTGAGGCTGGTTTTCAGTATCCTTTTTCTTCTGTCCAGGCATATATTGTAGCTCTCATCACCAAACCATGCTTCTGGAAAGGCCAGTTTGTCAGATGCCCCTTGGCTTGATATAAATTAAGAATGGAGACACAGTCCACTAAACTGCAGGGTACACCAGCAGGATCAGCAGTAATGGAAGAACATGTGTGAATGTGCGTTCTTTTAGGCTGGGAGCCTGCCCCCGACCTTTATACCTCCTAGCCCTCAATATGCAGGACTTATCTTTCAGGGAGCCCAAGGAAAGTAGCCCAGAAGACAGAGTTATTTAGTAGACCTTGTGT